ACTTTTATTAGCACGTTATTGTATTTTAAATAACACATCAGTGGGTTTGTAGTATTAGGAATTTAATGAACCAATAACCTTATCCAATAGAAATGATCCTACAAACAAATTGTAACTGAAATACCCACATAGCAATAAATGGAATGAGACTAACGTTGAAATTTGAACATAAAATTTGTTGTTAATAACTTAATAATAATAGTATTAAGAAATAACTAGTGTTGTTGCTTCAGAAGTTTTAATTCAATTGAAGAGTTTATATGACTTGTCTTTATAAAAAAAGAGAAAAAAAAAGAAAAGCCAAACTTCAAAATTTCTGGCATTTCATATTTCATCAATGAGATCACATAGGTTCCATCTTGAACCGAAACATTTTATTTATTCACAGTTTGTTTGTTTTTCTACCACACAATATTAAGTAACCATTTAGTTTTCAGTTTTTTGTCTTTCCTGATACTGACCTAAGTAAATCAAATGTACAAAATGGATTGCTATATTCTGACGATGCAGTACATTTAAAGTATTATACAAATGAATTTCCGAAATGGTTTGGTTAACAACCTATTTTGATTAATATTTAAGAGACACAATTTATCAATGTAGTCCAATTTGTTTAGAAGATGTTGTGATGCCACGTTTAACTTCATGTGGTCATATGTATTGTTGGAGATGTTTATTACAATTTCTTGTTCTATGTCCAGCGCCACATAAATGTCCAGTTTGTAATGCTCTAATTTATTCCCCATTTACAATTTGTGATATTGTTATTCAACCATCCATTCAACTTGGAGATAAAATAACAATGCAATTACTTAAAATTCCTAATGGATTTACTATCCCCTCTCTTGTTCCTGGAGAGACTATGACATCAGTACCTACATCAAAATGCAATAATTCACGATTTTATCATGTAGTAATAGAAGATGACCCACTGTCAGTATTAGCAAAAGAAAGTGTAAAAGTAATTTTAGAAATGAATAAACCACAAGATGATGAATATGGGCTTTACTATAATATGATGAAAGAAGAACTTAGTGACTTAAAGAAAGAATGGAATGATAGATTGGTACGAAAACGATATTCAATTAATCCAAAAGATTGGAACTATTATTATCAAGACTCACTTGGAAGAGATATTTATTTAACTTCATTTAACCTTTCTATGTTAATGGAAAATCCAACGAAATTACCAACATTTACATCAAAAATTCTTCAAATAGATGAAGAAGATGCAGGAGTAGGAGAACGAAAGTTAATAAAATCTTATCAGCACATTCCTAGAGGCACAGAAATAAAACTTATCGAAGTTGATATGAATGGGTTAGTAAATAACAATGTAATGAGCAAATATATTCAAATTATAAACAAAAGAAGTAGCGCTCGTCAACGAAAAATTAAAATGGAAAAGTTACAAAAAGAAGAAGAAAGAAGAAAAGAAGAACAACGAGTTGCTGAATTAAAAAGAATGAATGAACATTACATTTATTTAGAAGAAGATTATGAATTACACAAAGAAGAAATAGAAATGAAATATTTCCCGTCATTAGGAAATAATGATAAAATTATTACGAAGAAACAAAGAAAAAAAGAGCCTTTATTCCCTTCTCTTGGACCGTCTTCATCATCTTTAATGAATGAAAATGACATTAGTCCTACTCTTCAACAGTCTCAAAAACAAAGTGTTCCAAAAGAAATAAAACAACAAACGAACATTTCTTCAAATCCATCTAGTCAAAAAAAATCACAAAAAACAAGTAAAAAAGTAAAAAAATCAAGAAAAAATAAAAAAATTTTAGGAAATGAATTTCTTGGAGTGTTTAGTGAAGAAATACCAACAATAGAAGATATGGAAGATTAAACAAATAAAAAATTAATTGAATGAACTAAGTAAGAATATTCAAAGTTAAAGAATAATTCAATTTGCAATCATTAATGAAATAGATGGATCAATTATTAAATTTTCTGTAGAAACAAAAAATTGAGGAAGTTCACCAAGTTTTTTCCATTGACCAATTTCACATTCATTTATTTGAATTTTTTCATTAACAAATTGTTCAATTTCTTCACATTCCATTTCTTTAAATTTAAGATTTTCATGAATAATAAAACCACCAATAATCTTTTTCATTTCACCATTAATAATTGCATGAATCTTTTTTAACAATATTTGGGTTTTATTTTCAAATAATACTCCTTCACTTTTAAACACATTTAATACTTCATTTACTTCACTTGATAATACAGAAATACAATAAATTATCCATTCTTCAATTTGTTCTGTATTTTGTTTAATTTCTTTACAATATTCTTTTGCTGCTCCAACAATCAACACATCACTAAATCCTCTTCTTGAACATATTTGTGTAACCATCATTTTCCACCACTTACTTTCATCTCCTTGTAATTTCCCAATTCTAACAATTAAACTTGACAATTCATATAATGAACTACTTGTCATATTTCTTGATCCTTCTTTTATACTTTTCATAATTCTTTGACTATCTCTTCTTTCAACAGCTTCTATAAATGAATCAAACCATATTCTTGAACTTTCTTGACTTCCTCGTTCCCAATAATTAACTGCTAAATATTCTGATATGATTTTAATACATTCTATTAGTTCTTCGGAAGATGGGACTGTACCATGTGTTATAGAATGTCTTACTTCAACTAAAACAGTAGGCACTCCTAACTCAACTGCCATTTGATATACACTTCTGTGTTGTCCTCCAGCCTTTTGTGGTGCATCAACCATTCCATTAACAAACCTAACAATAGTAAATCCAGCAACTGATGAAAAAAATTGTGGACTTTCTACGTTTGCACACATAGAATTTAGTACACCAATAGTTGCTTCAATTTGAACAGGAAGTATTTGACGAGTTTGCCATATAAGAAGTAGATTTAATGCTTCTTTTACTTTTTCTTCATTAGGTTCTCTTAAAGCTTCAAGGACAGAGACTTGGGTATTCTTCCATTCATCCCAATTCATCCAAGCACTTGTCATTTGAGGGTTATAATTTTGTTTTATTTCTAGTTAGTTTATTTTTATAATTTTTTGTTTTTATTATTGTTATATATAACGATATTTAAAAAACATAAAACAAAAAAAGATAAAAAGAGACAAATATCTCATAAATCATACAATGAGTTTTGCTATAGAAAAGAATTCAGTTTGTGGATTAATGAGAAAAGAGAAGAGAAAACAATATTAAAGAAATAGTTTAATGAATGGAACAATCACTTTTCAACAGAAGTTGAAATAAATAAACCAGATATCAGAAAATTAGTTTTTGAAAATAATAATCATTGTGATATTAAGTTATATAATATTATTGACATTAAAAGCCTTAATAAACATGATAAAAAACAACAAGAAGATATTAAAAAAATTATTAATTCTTCTTCTTTTAGTTCTATTGCTTCATTAATTGAGATGTATGCAGTTAAATCAAAACCAGAAAATCTTATAATGTGGAATCAAGACCCGGTGAATGAGATAAATGGCAATTTGACAACAGTAACTATAACTCTAACTTTTATTATTCCATTTAAAAAATTTGATTTGTTACTTTGTTTTGTTTCACAAAGTGAAGACACTTCAGTTGTTGTTCCTTTAAAAGGATTGACATCTTTTGATCTTCAAGCTAAACCAGATGATATTGAAAAATGTAATGATGGTAATGAACATTTTATTCTTGAAAAAAAATTTACTGTAAGTAGATTAAAATTATTAAAAACACTTGACCAAGATGTGGTAGAATGTCAAATCATAGGAAATGGACCAAATGGTTTGTTTTTTATATTCTTTAAGTCACTTAAATAAAAAAAGAATTTTAATTGTTAGAAAAGAAACTTTTTGAAAAACAAGTAAAAATACATCAGTCATTACGTTGTGCACAAATATCTTCTTTTATGTACGCTATTCCAGAAAGTAATTCATTAATATTTGAGCGCCCTCGATATTGGACACTAACTAATTACCTTACAACAAATGAAGAAATAAATAGAACATTAATGTATAAATTTTGTCTTGATGTATCTAAAGCAATGGACTATTTACAAGAATCACAAATAGTTCATCGTGACCTTTCTACTGACAATGTTTTTGTATTTTCTGTTATTCCAACTGATTATGTTAATTGTAAATTAGGAAACATTTGTTGTTGTGAGAGAGTAAGTGAATATGGTATTGACGCTACAGTAACCAAACCAATTTACTCAAACCAAGGAGAAAATTTTAGAATGCCACCAGAAATTACATCTAAAGATGCTTCTTACACATCTCAATGTGATGTTTATTCTTTTGGAATTCTTGTTTTTCATGTTTTAACACAATTAGTTAACACTAATCCAATTGGAGAAAGTGGTTGTGTTCTTCCTCAATTTATTCGTCAAATTCCTTCTGCATTAGTAAACATTATTAATAATTGTTGTTCAATAAATGTTAATGAACGCCCTTCTTTTTCTGAAATCGTTGAACGTTTAAATATCATTTTACAAAATGCAACAACTGAAAAAATAAATCAACGAAAAAAACAAAAAACAGTTAAATTCCCTTTTGTGT